CTTTATCTGCCTGGGAATAGAATGTCATCACTGCTGCTTACTGTCTTTAACAAAAGGAACTTTTGGTAGTTTCTGAAGAACCTTCTCATCCAAATGACTGTACTGTCTCTTGAGTTCTTTTTTGGCCTTCTGTGCATAGATATCCACTTGATCTTCATGTTTCTCATAAAACCAGGGTACTGTCAACAGCATGACAAATACTGTCCAGAAAACAAATAATTTGTTATCTCGGTGAATCACCGATGGATGACAAGGAAATATTTTGAGTTCCACTATCATTCCTAACTTCTTTCCCGTTTGGATAGTAAAATCTGTTATTCGAATTCTATGAATTCCAGGAAGGCCATTGGTACATTAATGAAGAATGAGATACAGTGGTCAGCAAAAATTTTCCAACAGCCAGACAACTTTGAGCAGGGATTAAGAAAAACTGGTCCAAAAACTGAGCAGTCTATTGCATTTCCATAATATAGGGAGCAAATTTCATAAATTTGTCTTCTGCAGCTGATAGAAAGAAGAAAAGGTAAGAGAACTTACAGATNTTCATTCAAGTTTGAACACCCAAGATGAAATTCCTGGCTTCGCCACTACATAGGATGTTGCACTTGAGAAACATACATGAAATGAAAGTATAGATAACACAAAGCTGAGGGTAGTGAGAGATTTGTACATATAGGAACTTCTTCAAATCCTTTCCAGAAGCCACTTCCCAGAAGACACTAAATGCCCAGTTGAATCTGTCCCTCAACAGGAGAGCAACCTCAGTCCACAATTTCTCTGGCAGTACTATCTCTGGAAATTCCATAGGAGTCCTGCCAGGGAGTACAATATGATCTTATCACCTAATGTATTCACTCGGACTGATAGGAGACCGTATAGAAGCATGGCGACTATAAACTACCTCTTATAAGATACATGACAAAAATCCAGAGAACAGAATTTATAAGGCATGTGAAAAATAAAGTGAAGTTTTTGAGGCAAGGGAACTCACTTATTGACGAAGTGGGAGATATTTGACCAAAAGAACAAGATGGCCAAGGTAAGTATGAGAGAATGGCAAATAAAAGTGAGCAAATGATAACCAATCCATTCGAAGAGCAGCCATATTACAGTTGCAGCAGCAAGCATCCCTGCTGAAATCTGCTTGTTCCTCCACAGCAAAATATCAGCGGCTGATACAAGAGTTTTTATTACCAGAAATAATCATAAGTTTACATTTTACACGAAGCAAATCAAGAATGATAGATAATGCAAAAATAAGTACTCCATCTGTTCCATTTTATACGTTACTCTTTCCTTTTTAGTTTGTTTCAGAAAGAATGACGACTTTTTATATTTAGAAACTCTTTAACTTTAAACTTTTTGTTTACCCTTAATAACACGCTCTTATAGCTATGAAAATTATTATCATGGTGCCCAGTCAAATACCGCGATATAACAATTACTGAATAAGACATACGTTTGCCACCGCCTAGGGCGGCATGGACAGGTTTCTGGCGGCCAAAGAGATGAGGCTTCTGATCGTTGGTGGGGCGTCGAAAATCATCGCCGTCGGTGGATGATGAAGAAGAATAATCACGGTAATCAACGGTCCCTTGCACCTCTTTCGCTGAAGAATCAGGAACAATTTCCTCCACTGAATCGGACATGGTGACCCCAGGACTGAAAATAGATTACAAATTAATTATCGGAAGCATAATAACAACTTTTGTTTTAGAAACTCCTTTCTATTAACAAAACCCCAAAATTACATATATCCATTATATCAATAAAAAACCCTAAGGATACTATCCCGGGATAGAATTTGGGTTTGTATTTATCCCATATTTGGTTATAGGTATTAGCTAATTCCAGGATAGAAGTTGTATCAAAATGATGAATCCCGTTTGGATATACTTGTCTATCCTATAATTTAACCAAAAGACTATTAAAAAAGCTATTTTACACTTCCCACAAAGTGAAAACTCAGATGGAAAATCAAATCATTTGAAAAAGAAGAAGTAATTCAAAGAACATATATGCATGAAAATAGAAGGGCTGCATTATGCATGCAGTGATGCAATAAGTAGCAAAGAACAAGTAAGGATATGTAAATTTAGTTCTTACTGCGTGTAATGTAACGAAGGAAGTAACAAAAAGAGTCTTGTGAACTTTTTGTTGTTGTTGTTGTTGTTATTGAAGAATGAGGGTTGAGTTACTGATATGTCAGTTTTTCCTGTACTTTGTTTCTTTTCTTGTGTTTCTCTATATGTGTAACACGTAATTTTCAAATTCTGTTTTACATTGTTACTGAATCATTCAACGGAGAGAGTAGCGGACGGGTTCCCTCTAACCATATATCTCCCAATTTTCTCGCATAACAATGTTCCCTTATCTTTTCTAGGAAATTTAAGGGAAACTTCATATATATTTCACTAGTTAATTAACCCGCCCTTTGCACAGTCAAATATATCCGTTTGTAAATGAATTGTTCTTTATATATACATATTGAGAAAAGTAAAAAGAAACATTAATCAAAATAATAGCATCTCACGCCCGTTTGCAATTTTATAATAAGAAAATTCCTAAAGAACGATTATCTCAATTTAGGAAGGAAAGTTAACACTCATTTTATAGAGAGAAAAATATAAAAATCTTTTTAATTAATTGATGTTCATAATTAATAATCATAAAAATTTATATTTCTATTACTTTTTTTCCCCTCATTTATATTTCTATTACAGTAGTTAGAACTTTTGATCTTACACAAGTCCTCTCCCTTTCTATGCCTAGATTAATTATTTTTGATTCTTTTTAAATCCTATATAATTTCTTGACAGAAAGAATATGTAAGGACATCTCAAGTCAAACATGAAAGCAAGATTGAAGGCTTACCTGAGCCGCACCTTCGACATGACTCATTTAAATTATTACATTCGGACTTATAAGGAAAAGATACATAAATTCCTGTAGTTGATACTGTAGAGTCTGTGTTTGCAATAAATTATTTGTGATACAAAAATAAATTACAACCACAATATAAATATGAAGAAACATAATTTTATTGATAAACAATGCAAGTACAATTTTGTTTCTCCTTGATTCTTCTCTCCTGATTATCTCCGTGATTCGAGGGCTGAGCCGCGTATTTCTCGAATGTAGTACGATGCAGGCCTCCTGGGGTTGTATTTGATCTCCAGCTTCTTGAATTATTTGATTGTCAAGAAGTATCCGGCCATATTTTGATCTCTTTGTGAATATCCCAAAAGTTTATGGGATTTTGAGACACCTCTTAAAGGGAATATGTATCCCGCGTGAGCTAGGATTTAGGGTAGAGTAACCTCCAAGAAACCCTAATAGACTCCTAGGATTTCAAGAGTCCTGTAGTATCATTAATTTTTGGATTTGGCTTGATCCGTCAAAATTTTGATGTCTACAAATGCCCCCTACTTCAAGGTTTGTCAGGGTGTAGGCTTGCCGAAACTTGAATACGAGACTTGAAATATTCTACCATCGCAACAAATTGTTTTGAAACTTGGAGTTTTTGATTTACAGGAGGAAGAGATGAAGGGTGGAACTGGTCCCACTGGGCGTGCCAATTTATTTGCAACAAATTATTTGTGATACAAAAATAAATTACAACCACAATATAAATATGAAGAAACACAATTTTATTGATAAACAATACGGGTAGAATTCTGTTTCTTCCTTGATTCTTCTCTCCTGAATTATATCCGTGATTCAAGGGCTGAAGATGCGAGAATGTATTTGATCTCCAGCTTCTTGAATTATTTGATTGTCAAGAAGTATCCGGCCATATTTTGATCTCTTTGTGAATATCCCAAAAGTTTATGAGATTTTGAGACACATCTTCAAGGGAATATGTATCCTTTTATATATGAGTGAGTTAGGGTTTAGGGTAGAGTAACCTCCAAGAAACCCTAATAGACTCCTAGGATTTCAAGAGTCTTGTAATATTTTTAATTTTTGGATTTGACTTGATCCGTCAAAATTTCAATGTCTACATATACGTAAATAAAGATATCGATATTATATTAATCCCTATATCTAGCTTAAAGCATTTGTGCTACTAAAGCAATGTCATTTTCAAAATGCGTAAAATAGAGAACTAAGAAGAGACAGGTTTATTAGCCTCAAACCTGGCGGAAAAGGAAAACATAAAGATAAAGATTCTAAAAATTTACAATCCCATAAGTACAAAATAGAGAAATTTAAGAAAAAAAGAATGAACATTACCTCCAGATTAACCGTGAAACTGATAGTGTTTTTCAGTTATATCACGAAGAATAGTCATCAACTACGATTAATCAACAATATAAACAGGCAACAAATTAATTAAACTGGCCATGCCCCAAAACTAACACAATTGTATTTTGCAACACCACTATTGAACAAATAAATTAAAGGTTTTGGAAGAAGAAAATGGAGTAAGAGCATTTTTTTTATTCTTTTCACCGAGTAAGGGATATTTATAAGTGACTTGACTCCTTTTATAAAAATTTTGTTGTTGCCTTCCTCCAAATTTATCCCAGTAGATACCGTGGGCCTATAAAGTTTGCAGGGCTATCCTTTAGGAAAAGGAAAAATAGAGTAACACGGATTCACATCGTAATTTTTTGTTGTTTGCAGGAATATTATTTAAAAAAAAGGAAAAATAAAGTTATGCTGATTTACAAAATTCCTCTTTAATTGTTACAACTGTTACAAAATTTAAAAGGATGAAAATATGAAGAGACTCAACGTTAGAAGGGAGAAGTTCTGGACATATTAAATTTAAATAAGATAAATAGAGAGATGAGAGAGAAAATGCTAAAAAAATAAGGAAAAATATAGATGTGTTTTTTGATGAAAGAGGCATGCCATATATATATATATATATATATATCAGAGCGGGTCTACACTTTGTGTCAAGGGTTTCGACAATCTATCTATTTATATTATTTTTTTAAAATTATATTTCTATTCTATAGAAATGAGAAGTTGGTCGACCAAGGGTATATTTGTCATTATACCCTCTTATCTTATTATTTTAATATTATTTTATCTATACTATTCTAGACTTTTCCGTCAAAAAAACCTCGCATCCATCAAAAACCCAACACTCTATACTTTTTCAGTCATTTTCATCTGCTCAGTCACTTTCATCTCCTTTACTCATCTGTAAGTCACTTTCATCTCCTTTTACTTATTTGATTCATCTTCTCAACTAACTTGGTAAATTTTTTTCTCATCTCCTTTCCATCTCTTTTCAAAATTTCGGATTTCATGCTGAAATTTTTTGTAGGTTCCATTATTGTTCATTCAAACTTCTATCAAGAATTTCTTTATCAGTTTTTTTTCATCTACTTTGAATGTTCTAATTTCAGATCTGAATATCTCCTACTTTTTTCCCCAAGAACTAATTTATCAATTTTTTTCATCTACTTTGGTAGTTCCAATTTCAGATCCGATTTTTCATTTACTCAGTGTAAAAATCGATAGTTACTAGTTGTTAAAGGGTATCATAATTTAAGCTCTCTGTTGTCCTACTTTTCACTTGGAATTTTAGGGTAGAACCTATTTTAATCTAAAGAGGATATGATAATTACTATGGCTAATAAAAGCAATTGAGTAGTAAGTCATTCATCAAGTCTTGGTGCTTTCTATTTTCATAAAATAGGAAGTACAAAAAAAAGGAGTAGAAAAAAATTAAGTTAGGTGATTATGGGTGGATGAAATGCTTTTTGATTTGGTTAACGTCGGAAAGTTGCGGAAGAAAGAGATGTTTTATTTTTTCTGTATTTTCCTATATTTTTTTTCCCTTTTTAGCCTTTGGATTCTTTAGCCTATAAGAAAATATATCAGATAGATTTTGATACCAGAAAAGGTGCTGGTACACAATCTTCCTTTCATTAAAAGTATAAAGAGAAAGGTTAAATGTATAGCTCTAAATAAACAATACTAAATACTGTACATTAAATGTATGTAGAGAATAGAAACATGGGTTAAAGAAACAAGAAAAAAAATAGTATATAGGAATGACTGAACAAGAGGGGAAAAAAGGAGTTTCTAGGTATTACTCCATCCATTTTATTTAATGTGATATTGTTTATTTAGACCATCTCTAAAAAACGATGCATTTTTTTTGTTAAAAGTTTTACCTTTAAATTTTCCATTTTCCATGGTACTTTTGATACGGTAATTTTTTTTTAAAATTTCATACTGAATCATATACAAATGGTTATCGTTCATTGAAAAAGAAAAGATATTTCCTTTCTTCCAATTAACGTGATCCTATATCATTTTTGGTACGTTAAAATAGAAATGATCCCTTTTTAAATTTAAAAATAATTTAATGTAAACTTCTCATTTTAGCTTTTCTTTGACCAATAATCAGCAAAGCGGCTAATAATTTTTAAGTACATTTAATGTTTGTAGCATTACATGAACTAATCTTGAATTACATGGAAAGTGAATGCTCAATATGTTTGGGATCCTATGAAGACAAGAAATTGTTAAAGTTATGCCTAAATGTTATCACAGATTTCATTCTCCATGCCTTGATAAGTGACTTGGTAATCTTTAAATTTGTCCCCTTTGAAGATCTTCTATTGATTCTTCTACTAGCATTTTAAGCTGTCCGAATTGATACTCATCTACCTAAGTTATGCATGCAGATACAAATTTCATCTCTATTATATAGGAATTGATTCAAACAATGACGATATTAAGATATAAACAATATATTTACTCTTGTAATTTTGAATATTATCTATCTTTTTCTGTTTGTGGTTGCCTATTATTGATACTTTTCTATATTTATTTTATTTTCCTTATAGGACTCACTCTCTGTTGTGATAGCTGCGTGTTCGCGCGTTTTAGTAGCAAATCACTGTGTGATAAGTACTGCTCTTCTACTAGATTTATTTATTTTTAATATTTTTCTCTTACCTTCTTCGTATTAAGGAGGAGGTGTTGACCAGAACATCTAAAGTTTTTGATTTTGAAAATAGCATTCCCTCTCTATCTTAGGCGTTTGTCATTTATTTTTTTTTATTATTGTTTTTGATGAGTAAAGAATTTACTCATTTTATTCATTTCAGGCCATCTCATCATACTTTAACTCTTTTCAACTAAAAGGTAATCTATTCTATTCAGAATCAGATATGAAATTTATATCATTATCGGAGTTGCTTTTGTTTGTGATATATGTCAGTATGATTAAACTTACATTACTCATAAGCATATCATTATATGTAGCTAAAATTTTAGTGTTTTCCTTTTTAAGCCTTAGTAATAAGAAAAATATCTTGGCAATAGATAAACTGCCTTAATGGCAAATAGAAACCATGAAAATGACCAGATCTTTGGAAAATCACATGCTGACAAAAGGGCTAGGAGACGCGAATTATATAGACTGATGCCACCTGATAAAAAAGAGGCCCTTTTGGCACGACGGCGTGCAAACAGAGCTGAATTAAAAAGACGACGGTCTACTGAATCTTCAATTAGTATTGATGCAGCTAACGCATCAACCTCTAATGCTGTCAATGTTTCTACCAACCAAAGTTCTCTTATTATAAAAGATCCATTGGCTTTTTTAAGGAAAAGAACAGGTATGACTAAAAATTAAGGTTTGTTTAAACTACATCTACTCAGAACAGTAGTGATTACCTTTTTTTTTTTGGGTTAATAATCTACTCAATACTAGAGTTTTCATATGCAAGGAATGTTTTCACAGAACCTGGTTGTTCAAGTAGTATGCAAGCAGAAAATACTTATGTTAAATTAAAAGAAGTACCGAAATGCCAATTTTGTGGAGCAAAAAAAATTTGAATATGAACCACCTGCATTCTGTTGTGGTAACGGTTCTATTCAACTAATTTCACATGAAATGCCAACAGAGTTAAGAAACCTTTATTTGGGAAATAGTGAGGAATCAAAACATTTTCGAACTTACATTAGAACATACAATAACATATTTGCGTTCACATCCCTTGGTGTTTCTTATGATAAAGAGCTAGCAAAAAGAAATAATGGTATCTATACATTCCGTGTTCAAGGGCAAATATATCATAGAAAGTGCAAATAAGAGGACACCTTCTTGATAATTCATGGGTTGTTCCTTATAATCCATATTTACTTTATAAGTTCAACTCTCATATGAATGTAGAGATTTGCTCTGATATTAAAGTTGTTAAGTATATTTATAAGTATATTTGCAAAGGACATGATAAAATTGCATTTCATATACATGCTAATAATACAAACATAGAGATAGATGAAATAAAGGAATACCAATCTGCTAGGTGGGTGTCACCACTTGAGGCTGCATGGCGTATATTTGCTTTCCCTATTAGTGAAATATTTCCGAATTATATCATCTTCAACTACATCTTGATGGACAACAACTTGTTTCCTTCAAGAATACGGACAATATTAGTAAAATTGTGAACAATCCTATGGTTAAAAAAACAATGTTAACTGAGTTTTTTTAATGAATCGAGAAAACAAAGGTGCTATGGACTTAAATTTATTATATCGAGAATTTCCAGAATACTTTGTATGGTCAACAACAGATAAAACATGGATACGTCGTCAACGGGGAAGTGCTATTGGTCTCTTTTTTTTGCCAACAGATATATGAAAGATATATGTTAGCCTCTTTTTTTTTTTTTTTTTGCAAAAAGATATATGTTAGCCTCAATTGAGGAGGAAATGACTGCTTCTGGTAAAAGGACCTCTATATGCTGCTAAAGTTCTGAGATTATTCTAATGTTAACCTTTAACTTTAGATGCCGAGAATTTGTATCTTCGTCTCAAATAAGAAGACATGACTATTTCCCTCTTTTAACAAAAAAATAACTGGGACATGGCTTATTCTACTATATAAGAATCTCTATTTCTTCCTAAGTTGCGAGAATTTTCTAATTCCTTATATTTTGTCGTAGCCTCAGTTGGAAATTAGAAGTAGTTCTACATTCTTTTTCGCGTAAAATCTAATGCTACATTGATATATCCTGAGCTAGGAGTCATCGTGGCAATTTATTTCAGGTGTTCCTTCAGTTTGGAGATTCTATTAGCCGATCATGTTTTGCAAATTATGTTAGATTTCTCATAAGCCGCTCAAAATAGTTCACCACAAGAGGGGTAAAAGCTTTATTAAATTTTTGTGAATTGTGCATATTGTTCCAATAGCAGGTAGATCGATCACCTTCTACTTATATAATGTTATTGCTCTATGTCAACTACATTTTATCTCCTTTCAGAAAGTGTGAGTTCAAAATAAATTACTTTCAATAGTTGTCGAAGAAGATACATAAGGAGTTGCTAATTTTTTTCTTGTCTGTGGAATATCAAGTGTTTTGGGAAGTGAGGGAGCACCGTTGTTTCTAAATGCTGCTTTATTCTTGGAGCGTTGATCTTTCTTTAGCCTTTCTGGTTCTTTAAATTGTATCTATAGAATTATTGATAAACTTCGATTCATGACTATTTCAATTTGCATTACACTTGTTTCATGTTTCACATATCCAATTCTCTGGCAAAGTTATGACTAGGGATAAGTTTTCCAACACATTGTATGATCGTGCATTAATTTATGCTGTATGAGAGCATTCATACAATTTTAACTGTGCTGAGAAGCCCTTTTGGAATAGGATTAATGCACTAAAAGAAAAATATTATTTCTACCAGATGACCAAATAATATCCTTATCAACTATTGTAATGGCTTAAATAGGTGGCCATTGATGCATTTAATATTGGTGTGCAGGTTGGATGGAGTAGGATGTGAGCTTTGTCTCTTATTAGCTCTGTGAGTGCTGTCTCTTTATCAGCGCACATTTACACAAGGAAACCTCACATTTGTTAAAGTTCAACTCTTGAAAATAAATTGTATCTCTTGTAAGTCTCCCATAAGTAAAGATATATATTTGTTTGTTCGTGTTTGATGATCAATCGTTTCAAGAATTCTGTGACATGGTCTTTTGTTCACCTTAATCTTTTGCATGATGGAGAATCGTTCTAACAATCCAATGACACTTTTATGTATTGTACTGTTTTATCATATCTGAATTTACATGGCTACATACTAGCTTTATCAAGAACGTATCAAAATATCAAGAATCGAATATGTTGGGCCCGTGCTAAGCACGGGTAGCACTCATCTAATAAATATACAATCAGGGATGATGGAAGGTTAGTTGAATCTGGTTCGTAACAAGTAGGTTCGACTCTATTTTACGGTACCCCTTTCGTTACAAACTTTTGAGTAATTATTTTGACTTAAGTTTTGTGCACTAATGATGTATATATTCACATAATTAAGTTATTTTATAGGTAATTACAGGTAACTTTATTTAATAGCATTAATAGGTAATCTTTAATAAATGGTAAAAAACGTATTATAACATGTTATATTACATTGATGGTACAAAAATCTCAGGTACACTATTAGTGTTTATAACGTAAATCCAATTACTAAAATAATCAACTTTATTAAACACCTTATAATATTGAAAAAGTGCTTGTTAAACGGTGACGTTAACTCGCATCGAGCAAACCACCTTTATACCTTTAACAATTAAATTATTGCGACAAAATGAATATTATATATGTATCATGTTTTCGATACAATTTCAAATAAACAGGAACGAAAAATTTGCCTTTTGGCCTCTACATAAAATATGTCAAAATATTAATTTATACAAATACATCATGCGAATGCCTATGCCAAGATTAAAACCACCCACTACGTTTATAGAGTCTCTATGAACAAAATGAAACAAATGAAAAAAGTGAATAATGTACACAACCTTCACTGGACATAAGGTACAGTACGACATACCCAAAATGGAAGAGAGGTGATGACAATTCTAGCTCGCACGTCGGCCATCACAAGCAACGCACCTATATCTATGATAGAAAAAATCATGGGAAAAGAGAGTGCAACAACCCAGCCGATCATTTTATGTATTTGATCTCGTTCCCTTATTTGATACTTTTTCTATGCTTTTTTGTTATTTTGTGACTTGTGGGAATGGTAAGGTTGGTCTCGGGGAGGTTTTGGATTTAATTGGAACACTCAGATCCAAGGTTGGAAGTTTATATTATAAAAATTGACCGAGATTAGACTTTTATGTAAACGACCTCGGAATGGTATTTTGATGATTCCAATATGTTTGTGTGGTGATTTTGTCTTTAGATGTATGTCCGAATTTGGATTTGGAGGTTCCTAGGTTGATTTGGTTCTTTTTGGCAAAAGCTAAAATTTTTAAGGTTTAGACAGTTCATAGGTTTGATCGTTAGTTGACTTCGATGTTACTGGGTATGGATTGTTGTTCCGGAAGTTGGAATAGATTCATTGTGTTATTTGAAACTTGTGTGCAAAATTTGGAGTTATTCCGAGTTGGCTAGACGTGGTTCGACATGAGTTTTAGAAGTTTAAAAGTTAATTGTTCATTAGGCTTGAATTGAGGTGTGATTTGTAGTTTGATGTTATTGTTTGTGATTTGAGGCTTCGAGTAGGCCAGGGTTATGTTTTGGGACTGGTTGGTATGTTTAGAAGGGGTCCCGAGGGGCTCGGATGAGTCTCGGATCATTTTGAAGTTTGAAGGTAGTCAAGTTCTGGTGTTTTCCTACTTGCGTGGTTTGGACCGCATGTGCGAGTTTGCGAAAACGGATAGGATGGTGCAAAAGTGAATTTTGGGATGGATAGTGGATTCCGCAAGTGCAGAAACTCATGCGGAAAAGCGAGCCCTTGGTCGTAAAAGTAAGCTCCCAGGTGCGAGCTGGAGCCCGCAGAACTGAGAATCGTTGGGCAGTGTATTAATAATCGAGGGTTTGACTTGTTTTATCATATTTTGAGATTTGGAGCTCGGATTGTGACGATTTTTGAGGTATTTTTTTACCCACTTGAATTGGGTAAGTGCTATTGATCGGATTTTGTTTATGGTTCCAACCTTGAATTTGGCATTTTATTGGTGAATCTAAGTGAGAAATTAAAAATTGCGACAAAAACTTTCTAATATAAAAAATAGAGATTTGAACCCTGATTCAGATTTGGATTAAATTATATATTTGGACTCTTATTCTAATGGATAGTTGGAATTTTTGACTTTTGTCATGTTTTGATGGACAAGCCCGGATTGACTTTTGGGTATTTGATAAAGATCGAAGCTTTATTACCTGGAATCGATTTGTATAGCCGTGTTTGATGTTATTGAGTTATTTTTGGTTAGATTTAACTCGTTCGGATGCCGATTCGAGAGGCAAGGGCTTTTTAGAGTATTAATTTAGTTTATTTAAGGTAAGTATCTTGTCTAATTTAGTGTCAGGAAATACCCTTTAGGATTAATTTCCTATTTGTGTTACGTGAAAAGTAACATGTACAAAAGGTGACGAATGTGTGCATGGGTGCTATGTGTGGCTTATGCACGGATTAAACCTTAGGCTATTAATATGCCTTAATTTAAAAATGTGCTTTATATGAAACATGCTTAATCACTTTGTGACTACATGAACATGATCTTTTCAATTAATTTAGCCGTAATCATCCCTTATATGTTGAACACCCATCTATATTTGTATTATTGCCATGTCCTTGTGCACCTTGTTGATAAATTGTGAGCTTATATTTTTGATGAAATTTGAAATTATTGTTTTGTGATAATTGCGGTACGTGTGAAAATGCTGGGCGGATTGTTTGGGTGTTGGCACGAGGTTTTTGTCGTGCGATTTTGATTGATATTGTTGTTATTGCAAGGTACGAAGTGATACGGATGGATATTGTTATTGTATCGGGGTGGAGCAATACATGTGGATATTGTTATTGTGTCACGGTGGAGCGATATAGATGAATATTGTTTTTGTGTCAGGGCGAAGCAATATGGATAGATATTGTTATTATGTCACAACGGAGTGATACAAATGACTATTGTTATTGTGATACGAGGTATCATATAGTTGTATTTTTATTTGATGACTTGTTGTCAAGTTGAACCTTTACTTGCATTGAGTTTTTATCATATGTTCCAAAGAGATTGTTGATATTGTTTTATGTTATACATTATGTTGCCAGTCTTTGATATATTGTACATGTTATTTAACTAGTGAATATCCCATGACTCGAACCTCGTAAGTATTTCACCGAGGTTAGTCTTGATACTTACTGGATACCGATTGTGGTATACTCATACTACACTTTTGCATATTTTATTGAAGATCCAGGTGTTGGAGGCAACAAACCTAGGCAGTGAGGGCTTACATTGACCGCGAGGATTCAAGGTAGAGCTGCATGACTGTCACAGTACCTTGGAGTCATATCCCTACATTTATATTGTTATTTTCATACCGAACAACATTGTATTTTTGAGACATCCTTATGTATTCAGTTAGAGATCATGATTCTGTAATAACTATTTCTGGGAAGATGTATTGTGTATTGCCATTTTTGTTGGTGTTAACTCTACATTTGCTTTTATATTAAACTCTGTCTTATTTCATGTCTTGTGAATTTAATCTTGTTAAGTAATCAGCTTACCTAGTATTAAAGACTAGGTGCCATCACGACCCCTATGGTGGGATTTGGATTGTGACAAGTTGGTATCAGAGCTCTAGGTTCATAGGTTCTACGAGTGATGAGCAAGTTTAGTAGAGTCTTGCAGATTGATACGGAGACGTCTGTACTTATCTTTGAGGCTACCGAACTATTAGGAAACATCACATTCTTTCATTCTTTATCGTGCGGATTTTTTATTCCGAAGTTTAAATCTTTACTCTTCTATTCTCTCATACATGTTCTGCCCGATCAGCTGAGAAGGCACCAATGTTCCCTACTGGAGTCGCAAGAGGTTGGGGACGAGGTAGAGGCCGAGGAAGAGCACGTACTACAGTTAGAGCACCTTCTAAGGCAGCACCTGTGCAGCCTCCAATGGCTCCAGTTAAAGATCTAGAGCCCCAGCATGCACCTAAGGAGCCTATTGCTACACTGGGGCTCCAAGAGACCTTAGCACACTTCATGAGTATGTTTGGGAGTTTGGCCTAGGTAAGTTTGATTCCAGTTGCATCAGCTACTTCATAGGTCGGGGGAGGAGCTCAGACTCTCGCCGCCCGTACACCAGAGTAGCCGGCTCATGTTTACTAGACATCGGGTGTTATGCTGGCGCAGCCAGTAGTTTTAGTTCAGCCCGAGGTAGGGCAAGTTGTGTCGGCTAAGGGACATAGGTGTTTGAAGAGGTTTTAGAAGTTTTATCCTCCCTAGTTTAGTGGAGGGGCTTCTAAGTATGCACAAGGTTTCTTGGATCAGTGTTATCACATTCTGCGTACTATAGGTTTGGTAGAGTCAAACGGGACGACCTTACTACTTTTCAGTTGACGTGGTCGGCATATAGATGGTGGCAGACTTATGAGGCGAGTAGTCCAGCCGATGCAGAACCACTTACATGGTCCCAATTCTCCGATATGTTTTTTTAGGGAGTTTGTTCTACAGACCCACAGGGACGAGTAGCGCAACGAGTTTGAGCAGTTGCACCATGGGAGTATGACTGTGTACGACTATGCTATGAGGTTTACAAAGTTATTTTTTCATGCACCTTCCTTGGTTTCCATAAATAAAGAGAGAGTCTGTAGATTTAGTGAGGGACTCATTTATAGCCTCAGATTTGAAATAGCATGGGAGTTGGAGACAGAGACTATATTTTATCAGGTTGGGAAGATTTCTAGGAGGCTAGAGCGTATCCGCGGTCAAGAGTGGGAGGATAAGGAGGCTAAGAAGCCTCGTGGTTTTGGAGAATTTAGTTATTTCCACTCTATGGCTCAGACCTGTCATGACAGAGACTTTGTTGGTCGACCAGTTCAGTCTGAACTTTAGGTTTCCCGTAGTGCTCCAACTAGCCATGGATCTTAGAGCACTCATACTGTACATCTATCTTTTGGTGCACCTTCTGCACTGCACGAGGTTCCTACAATAATTATTCCAGTCGTCTGGGGAGACTCAGTACCAGCTACCACGCTGCAGAGAGGTTGTTTTGAGATTGGTGATACTAGGCACA